CAACGTCAGACTTATCACATAATAACTTGATAACCTTACTGATAATAAAATTAATTTCGTTTGTTTACTTTCGCTTGTTTCCACTTATAATCCCACATGATTAATTATCTTATGAACCTGTAAATTCATTCCGTAATCTGCCGTAATCTCAACAAACTCATTTGAAATATTTGCCACATGCTACAAGGATCACCGATACTAAATGCCGTATGTTATCCGCTGTAAGGACAATGCCAACGACAACCCTCATTCACACCTCACATTGCGCTTATACTCGTATTCATCCTCGTCCTCGTTCTCTTACTGCAGTTTCACGATTACGATTTTTTATCAGTATTTTTCACTTTGTTTAAAAATTAATAGTTGTAACATTGTTTTTAAATTGCTACATGCTCGATAAACAACTTGAACACCACTACAAGTGCGGAAGCGGGTGTGGTGCAGTAAAGTCAAATCCACACCAAATCCCAATACACTGAACAAATCGTCCTAGCTGAGTCCCGAGAGAGTTCAAGTTACGCTATTGTCGCTATTCCTGTTTCGACTGCAGACTGATAAGCCCTTTTCTTTCTCTTTATTATTAAGTAATAAAATGTTACCACTTGTGCCCCCTGGCACGCGGTCCTCCTTACATATAAACACACAAATGGTAGTATATGAATCCTTATTTAATAAGGACATCTTTACAAGCTCTTTAGGTGTATGAAATACTCTTTCCACAAATCTACAAAAAAATAAATGCTGAGACTATTTTTTATGATGCTCGAGTTGTCAAAACATATTTTGATTGAGCGTACACACTCAATTAGCCCTGGGTATGTGCCGCACCAACACTTCTGGTTGCAATCTTCCGGCAATTGCTTCTGGAACGCTATGTTTGGGATGAGCAGTTCTAAATAAGACAAAGTATTACTGGGTCGCACCCCTTTTCCCATATTTTATCACATCGTTATTTTCGTACTGAATTATTATTTAAGTGGAATAGAAAAATCATTGCTCTTTTTTATTTTTGCCGTTTATGGAAATATTCGTTTTATGAAGAATTGTGGGGTTGGTCGAAATAGCAGAGATGGATTTTAAAAAAACTTTAAAAATATACTACAGTCAGCAATAGTAACAAATGTTAATTTTTGATTTACAATAATAAATAAGAAATTCTAATTATTAAATTTAGATTTATGTTTTCTCTTGAGTTAAATTAGGTTAGGTTGGATAGGTGGCCTTGTAGCCAAAGTCCACTTAAGCTCAAATATTGGTTCGTTAAGCTACCACGGTCTTATTTTATTTGTATGTTTAAGTAAATACTATAATGTTTTTTTTATTTATTTTTTAGTTATAGTTCATATTCAAAAGAACACTTTTGTGATTTACACACATAAGAATGTCCTACATTTCAACACTCCTTCATGCTACTAATTTTTTCTTTTATATTTTGAAACACCAGAATCGAAAATTATATTAAAACAAAATTTGTAGATAGTTTTCACATATTGTACCATAATTTCGAGAAATAAATAATCACTTAATCCCACTAAAATCTTCTTTAACCCAGAGAATAGTGGAAGAAACTTTATTCCTGTAATTGTAGAAGAGAATTGAGATGAAGACGTTTAGCACTCAGAAATCTGGACTTATTGCGCAAGTGCGGGGGTAGATTAGTTCTGGACTATGTGACCGACTCTACAGTCCTGGTCGGTTATAGAGATGGTGATAGAAGAATCTGATTACATTTCATAGGAGTATAAGGAAGGGTAAAGAGAAGGTGCTAAATGCTGTAACGTCATGAAAAGACGTTACAGCATTTATTCAGACTATTCAGACCACAAATTTACTGTGACCTATGAGATATAAATAATATATTTATACATTTTTATAATTAAATAATTAATTATATTGAAAATTAAATATAAATAATATACATCTTATTATATTCCCATAGTTCCTCATATTGATAGTTTATTTTATGGATATGTAAAAGTAAAAAATCTCTACGATTCTCTGTGAATGTCAGGCGTTCGTCACTATTATATCTTTGCATTTTAGATGTTATACATTTTAGATGTTGTTTTTAACAGCTTAAAATATATCGCATGATTATGAAAATAAAATTATGAATATATTATAAATTTTTAATGTATCCAACAACTCTTTGAATAAATTACAATTTTTGTAGAATGTGAAACGTTAGACACATGCTATGTAAAAAAAGCAGAATAATTCAATTTAATAAAATATAAAAATGCTCGTGATAAAAATTTTCAAGTAACAATTGCGAGGACCTAAGCAATAAAAACTACTGGAAAATTATCAAGTTTCTAAAACCAACTCCAGCACACAAATAAAAAAATAGAATGTTGTTTGTCTACAACGCGTTAAAGTGCTGTAATAGAGCACTTTCTAGCTGGGATATGACTTTTTTAGTGCTTTTGAAAATGGTTAAGAAATATGTATAAAAGCTTACATATATTATAGTTATGATGTGTTTCGTTTTTAATATAATATTAACATAAAACAATAAATTTGAAGTTGCTGGAGATATTATAACAAGAGAATGAAAATTATTTCTAATTTAAATTTTTCAATTAAGTATATAAAATTAATATTAAATAATAATAAATAATTATTATTGCCAAATAGAAAAATTACTTACTTTTAGTCATCAAATTTTCATATTCAAAAATTTTTTTAATTTTATTGAGTGGATTCTTAGGCTAAACGGTTTCGTATATCATCAAATATCCATCATCAGTGGTCACTGGACACGTCTATTGGTTTAATTATCGGTACATAATTTTTGAACTGCAATTTTCAGGAATTAAACCCTGTCAAATTTGAATTGTGGACCCGTGTATTAACATAGACAACCAACCTATACCTAATTTAGGTTATTAAAGTTTAGAATTTTATGAATTTTTTAGTTGATAGATTCCAATTTCTCTTCATCAATGTAACTTCTGCTGCATCTGCTTGTTGGAATGTACATATTAACTTTGAAACATTGGTGCAGTAGAATAGTAATCCGTTAGTATTCTAGTAATTACAACAAATCACAAGTTTGATAAAACTAAAAACGCTTTTAAAAAATTTTCTCTACGGCATTGTGTCTCATATTACCAAACGTAGGGTGTACACACAATACTAACCCACTTGAAAACAATATCTGTGTTATGTTTTCCAAAGAGTTAAGCAATATATAGTCTCGTTGAAAACACATGTTTATGTACTGCAATTAAATGTATATTAGATATTTTATTAAATACTGAGAATGGGTTGTAGTTTTTTAAGTTTGATATTTATTTTTATGTATAAATTTACTCTCGTATATTATCCTTTTGGCAACATATAATCGACAATGCAATAACAAAAGAATGTTATGGATTATGATGCGTCCATTATGACATTTGGCAATCACTGTAAGGAAAATATGGAACATATGCGTTCCAACTGAGAAGATAATACTTGTAAATTATGCAATAATTTTCAATTTGAAAGTTAAGCAATTAAATTTCGAGGACAACAAAATACGAGTAAAGGATGAGTAAAGGACGAGTGATTTGTAATTATTATTGCAAGGGTGCATAAGTCATTGTTGAAGGCGTTCGTGACAATGTCTCGGAACAAAAGTGGGAAAGAAAAGATTTTTTACAAATTAAAATAATTAAATAACTGTAGTTAATTGCTTTCATTGCCAAATAAGAGTGGAAACCTGTCGCGTGTCAACTTTGATGGCAATTAAAGAAAATTCGTCAAGAAACTGACTCCTAGCAAGGAGTATGGACTGACTTTCTTATATGAGTAGCTTGAAATTTTCATGGATATAATGTATGTGGATTCATAGTTGGACATTTCTACTGCATGCAGTGTTAGTAGCCTTGAATTGATGGCAGCACACAAGGAGCGCACACAAGAAGAGCACACACAAGCAGAAAACTTGAGCATGAGCAGCAAGTGCTGCCAGGAAATGTATGGCAAAAAATTGTGCAGAAAAGAAACAAAAAAAAATAAAATAAAATTGTCACAGCAAAGAGTATATGTGTTTTTTTTTGGCAATATTTTCTTGCCACTGCACTACGGGTGGGGACATGTCCAGTTGATTGTTGATCACATTAATGACATGAAATTCGACATGAAATTGACTTGTGCCATTAACACGGGGTGCTGCCTATTAGATTGCCATTGAAGGTTAACGATCGCCTGCACTGTTGTGGAGTCTTTCAAAAAATCAAAGCAAAATATCAAACCGATTAGTATGTGTCCTTTTTAATTTTCTTTTGTTCAAATAATTAAATGGATAATTTTGTAAATTTCAAATTATTTGTAAATAACTGCTCACTCCCTTGGTGGGCGTAAGTCCAACGCGTGGCTTTATGCACAATATTTTTGTAGTATTTCCATAACAACTGAAGGTTTCCGAAAATTATTTGGCACAAGGACAATGTGTAGAGCATTGTTTTGTGAAACAATTGTGAAGAGTTGGAAACTGACAGCTGCTGCATATAAAAATTATATTATGAAAACAATTATGAAGGCAACTATTGTAGTTGCCACCCACATTGACTTTTCTTTGACCTTGCCTTGTCTTGTGGATAATGTTGTCTGCGCCATACTAAATGTCCTGTATTAAGAGATTAGTAGGGAATTAGCGTACACATTAATGAGACTACATAATTATGACGCCCTTTTTTACGACAAAAGGTAGTAAAAGACTATCTTCGCGGTATTGCCAGGTAGTAACTTTAGTGAAAGTGAAATAATTATAAAAGAAATTTTTAATTTTGAAAAACATTTTGGGATTTTTTATTTAATTTTGGAATATTTTGATTATTCGCATATGTGCGCTCGCACATAGGCATTAAAAACAATTTCATTATGAGGATTTTGCTAACTAATAATACAATAATGTTAATAATATTTACATTTTGTTCTACAATATAAACTCGAATATGTACAATAAATAATAAATTAATAATTACTTAACAAATTCAAATAACAATAAATATTTACAAATGCTTACTTAAAAATACTTTGTACAAATTAAAATAAAGTTGGAGCAAAATAGCACCACAATCACAAAATCAGTTGCACACACTCTCACATATGCATTACATGGCATATGCGTATGTAAAGCGTGTGTTAAGCCTCTTTGAATAATTCCAGTGTTGCCACGTTAAACTTCAGTCTTGTAAGGTTTAAAAAGCTTAGGTTTCGGCTCTGTTATTACTGTTTGTGTTGGCGACATACATGAGGCGGGTCTCTTCAATGTACATGTGGGTGATGTAGTTGTTGTTGCTGTTGTTTGCATAAGTAAACCGACAGCAGAGTGTGATTGAGCACCTGTGCAATTGTTGGTGTTGTAACTACCAATTGACGTATCGATTGTTTGGTTGACTGATTGCAGCAAAGGTAGTGAATTATTAATGTTACGTATGGGGCTGAGACTGCGATCGAATACTTTAGTATGATCCGAACCGGTAGGACTTAGCGAGAGCGTGGATGAATGTGGCGATGATGAGGATTGTAGATCGAGTGGCGGTGTATGTGTTTTTGGTACTGAGAGTGCTGCGTAACTATGTGGCATGGCACCTAACATAGCAGCTGGTGGATAACCGACGGCAACTCCCATAGGTGTTGCACCCATTGCAACAGCAGCTGCTGCTGCGCTAGGCATACCATGTGCTGACATATGTGGTGCTGGTGGTACTGGACGTGCTGGTATATGGTAGGGATTGTAACGATATTGACCGTAAGAAGCATGTCCGGGTACCGGCATGGATGGCATGGCAGTGGCTAACATTGGATTTGCTGTTGGGTAAGCACCGTATGGCATACCGACGGTACTGGCAGCAGCTTGTAAAATTGAAGCGGCAAATGCTGGATCTGAGTAGACGGCAGCGTAAGGCCAGGCAACAGCAATACGTTGGCGTTTATCTTTCATGCGACGATTTTGGAACCAAACTTTAATTGTGGACTCGGGTAAATTTAATTGTGCAGCCAACTCGCAGCGTCTGGGGCGTGAGACGTAGTTTTCCTTGTAAAACTCTTTTTCGAGACGTGCCAACTGATCGCGTGTAAATGCAGTTCGATAACGACGAATTGAGGGATCAGCTGGTATTTCAGAATTGCCACGGCTACCATTCAATGATGTATCAGGACTTGATAAACAATCTGCAATGAAGAAGAAAAATTTTTATTAAAAATATTGTGTCACTTATTTAATTTACATATTAATGCATAAAATTACTATGACAGAATTTAACTTTAAAAATAAAAAAATTGATTAAAAAATATATGTAAGAAAAATCGGTAAAGTTGTAGTTACGTTTAATAACATTTTTAATATTTTTGTTTTTAATTAACAAGCAGTAAAAAAGTATATAATATATATAATTATAGTATATAATATATATAATATATAATGTAATAACCAATTAAGATTTTAAATGTATTTTTAACTTTACCGAATTTTGCTGATTAAATATTTTTTAATATTTAATAATAATTATTAATTAATTTGTATAATTTATTATAAATTAACAAAATTAAGTTTAATGAACATTGGCAGTTAAGACGTTATTTTGTGTAAATAATAAACTAATTACATTAAATAATTTTTATTTAATAAATTTGTCATTTCACTAATTATTATTGGAACCTACCGTTTGGAGATGGCGGTGGCGTTTGAGGTTTTCCGTACTGCGCTGACATTAGGTCAACTACCAACGGCTTTTGGTCGGCGTTGCTGTCAAGATGTGCATGATGATGATTTTCCATATTATATGTACGATATCCTTGCATTTTGTATAATTTTATATATATAATTATTAACTTATATATTTTTAATAAATTTTAATATAGTTATTATTTTTGATTTCAAATTGTTTATGAAGAGAAAAAAAAAATTAAATAAAATTTTTCTCGTTATTTTTCACATAAATTATGTTGTGTTTTGTTAAACTATTTTCGAAATACCGTAGACTGTTACTACACGTTTGGCTTCTACAGCTCAACTGTGCTAAACTCAACAACCCCTGCACTTTTTATACACAAGACAGCAAAGAGACATAATCACTAACCTTTAAGGCGTGCTCTTTTAACAGTTTTCTATTAGAGTTACTTGTGTTGGTGTATGCTTGTGAGCAAAACAATGGCGCATTATAGCCAATGAGCAAGTGCTTTATAATAGAAATTTACTACAGGAATGAATATACACTGCAATATACGAGTATTGATATGAATATCAAGCAAAACAAATAAGAAATAAAGAAAAATAAAACCTGGAAATAGGGAAAACTTATACTGAGCTGAGTATACATTTGTACATAGCTTGTATTGCATGCTGGACGGTTTGTAAAGTGATAGTGTGTGTATACACACATAAAATGCATGCACTGTATTGTATGTATACAGTTAATGTATTATATGTAGTATTTGTTCCTTTGGTATGGAAAACGCAGACAATAATGTGACGATGACGACGATTACGATGCCAAGACAATAGCATAAAAAGTGGAAATATAAAACACCAACAACACTGGCAACAACAACAATGTAAAGCAACATACATAGAATTCAGTAAAAAGCATATTTTCTGAGAAAAATCATTATCGCTTAAAAGAACTCAGTGGAATCCATAGTGTCTGTAGCAGTACGATATGGTAGAAGCATATTGCTGTTAAGCAATGGCAGTAAAAACGAGATGGAAAACTTAATAATTAAGTTATTATAGCGCAGTCTGTTAGCAAAGCAAAGCATAGCATGGCATGGCACTGTGAGCTTCAGAGCTTCAACACAGCGCGTTACATTATGCTTTAAGTATTTTCTTCTTCCTTTTATGCGGAACTAACAAATTTTGTATTCATAGCGATGAACGAATCTTTTGTTTCAGTTGTCCACAAATGGTTGCCTTCATGGGAGCGAATGAGATGTGAAAAACCTTTAATAATTGGATTTTATCTGTTTCATCAAGAATGATATCGCATAATGTGCTTTTGGGATTGGAATTGGAATTGGGTTATGAATTCATATAGAGCTGAGTATACACAGCATGCAACGTATTAGTATACGGCAAAAAGAAAAAAAAAATTCTAGCAAGCTAATGCTGATAATCCCTGTTTCATCCCAACGTGCAGCAGATGACTTAACGTAAAGGCACATTTAGTGTGTGTGTATATACATGTATATGCACATATAAAGTCAAATTTGTTGCCACCATTTTGTTATACCTTCTATTCCTCAACCACTCATAGTGGGTAGCATACCCACTATGCTTTTTCATTATATACATTAGTTGGATCGTTTGGAGTTTTTAAGGTTATGGCTTTAATACGCTGCATATTCACTAGCATAATAATTTGGTTCAACATTATTTTGTTGTTGGCAAATTATTCGCTATTTTATAGCAGCTTAATTTTTTTTTTATTTTATATTTTTTTTATTTTATACAGTGTTGTTGTTTTTTTCCTTTTAATGTTTTGGCGCTGTTATAAGTGAGTTAGTGGTGAGGGTATAATATTTTCATTACTGCCATTGTTTTTGTTGTTAGTGTTGTTGTTGTTAGTGTTGTTGTTGTTTTTATTGGAGTGGCAAAGTTATTTGTTGGCGTACATTTCTGGTGAATGTAATAAATGAGTTTATCTTTTTAATATTATAAAACCTTGTGCTACAAAGTCTGTTTTGTTTTTGTTGTTATTGTTGTTGCAGCACGGAGTAATGTTTTTTAGCTCGCTTCATTGTTTCATTAAAAACAATAAATTGCTGTCATCTCGTTTGGTTTTAGAATTAAATAACTTTGCAAAACTTTTATGCTTCCTATTAAGCATTGGTAAGGAGTTTCCTTCCTGCTTTTATGTTCATTTTATTATTAAAATATTTATTTTTTTAATGCGTTCATTATGATGATAAAACAACAACAATACACACTAGACTGTCTATGCTGAATTTCAAAAAAAAAATAAAATGAAATAAAATTTAAAAGTTTAATGAAATAAATTATTATCAGAAAAGGCATATTCTTGTAAATTTATATAACTTGGATTCATACAAAATTACATACTTATATGCTTATATACTTATATTGCAGTATGGAAAGAAAACCAAAAAAATACACAAATTTTGATGAAAATAGTTGTTGGTAATAAAGAAAAATTTAAATAAATTTATATTATTTCACTTAATTCAAAATTCAATTTCATAATTAAATGCTTTAAAAATAAATTGTAATATATTCGCGTCTGTGTTGAAATAAAAAAAATATATATAAAAGTTTTAATGAAATTAATATTGTTAAGAAATAAAAATTCTTATAAATTTTTTCTATTTTACTAAATATAAAATTACTTATTGAAATGGCTATAACAACACGTTATGGTGTTTCGGTCTGACAAAGCACCTCTTTCCAGGCGCTTTTGCTGCATATGCGCCTTCTTCAGACTTATGAAACAAATGCGGTTAGTACTTTGTCGTCATTAACATGGTCATCCATTCTCAGGACATGACCAATCCAGCGTAGGCAATGTTAACTCCCTAAATTATATCAGTGAAGATGCTCATACAGCACGTGGTTCATTCAGATAGCGTAGTCGTCTCCAACTCGTAGAGAACCAAATATCTTAAGAATAACAGACAATAGACCAGAACTAGAAGTTTGGAAAAAAGGACGAGTTCATAATCATTTGACTTATTTGAATCATTTGAATTATTTGTTTGAAACTAGCAAATAGAATTTTAAGATCATATAAGTAATTCGGTGTACACTACTGTTAAAATCACGTCAAAGAGTTATTTAATTAATTGTATAAATAGCTTATATTAATTCAAAAATAAAAACAGATCAATCAAAATATGTCGTTGAATCTTAATATATGAATTCAGGGTTCATATTCAATTTTATATGAATATGAACCACTATAACAAGATTGTATATTTTGTTCTTTCTTAATATTTCAATTTATTAGCAAAAAAAACATAACCTGGGTGTCAATAGTTGACATTTTAAACATAGTTTCCAATTTTAATGTATTTCTATTATTCATTAATAGTTTGCAAAATTTTTCCAAATATTTCTATTATTTAACATACCTAATGACCCAACAATGTAGATATTCTGGGTTGTCAAAAGTGATGTGGTTGTTGACTTGACCTTGCTTGATTTGAATATAATGTATACACTTAATCGGCTTAAAAAAGATTATGTTTGAGCATAGTAGGATTATTAAATAGTAATATTACATAGTTACAATTACAACGAAAAAAATAAAAAGTTAATACCTGACATTAAACAACAAATAATAATAATACTACGATTAAAGTTGAAGGATTTCAAAGTATGTAGGGAAGTATTGTTTATTTAAAATACGTAATTAAAAAAACTTAAACATAACCATACAATACTAAACTATTACTAAATTATCAATAAAGATATTGAACGTCTCTTGGTTATAAAAGAATTAAATTACCTAAATTAAAAAATGCATTGATCAGAAGCCAGGTAATGAAGTTAGCACCCTGTCTTATAAAGCAAAATTGTGGTAGCACTGAGATACTCTATATACTATCAAATAGTAAAGTCAGTTCGAAGCTAATGTCAGAGCTACAAATTTTTTATGAGATTGCTTATCGATTTCCTAGGTTTTATTTGCGAATTTGATACATACATTCAGATACTCATAATCCCGTTTATTTAGAGCAGTTACTTTTATTATAAAATCTTACTTTTGAAATCTCTATCTTGAATTTATTTTCATTTCCATACTATAAACAAAAACAAATAAAAACAAAATAAAATTGGTGATGGGAGTATCTCTAGTTATGATAATAAGAACGTTTCTATTTCCTTATTCAATAATGAGAAAAAATACGTAGAAGAAACTAAAGGACGCACATCAGGAATAATAGTACCAAGTTGGGAAAGAGTAAATAATTAAACATTACAAATACAGATTTAATAATAGATTAACGAGGTAGAGTTTTTAATTAAATATTTGGATTCCCTTTAAAAACTGTATGCAATAGAAGACCGCTTATTTAAAACATAGACAATAAGACGTTACACCAATTCCCTGATATCCGTTAAAATAATGACAATAGCCGTTGCAATTAAATACAATAAAAGTGATATTTATTAGGAGTCTTTGACAACAAGAATGTAATAGTCAATAACGTGGTGACTGACTTTCTGTGATTCAAAAATCACTGTCACTGTTATTTGCTGATCTGTCAGCTTAATTCATAAAGACCATTGCAGGCGACATAAACTGGGATAAAGACTATTCTATGTACATAGTAAAAAGTTACTGCTAATTTTTATTACTGAGCTATCAGCCTTATCTATTCATAAAGACTGTTTAAGATGGACTACAACTACTACCTTTATTAACTGAATTGACAGCTTCATTGGTAAGGACGTCTAAAAAAATACTTTCATTATTTACCTATCAGCTTAATTGATAAACACTGCTCTGGATAGTCAAAAATTATGGGCACTGTTAACTGCTAATTTGTCAACTTGATTGTTAAAGCACGTTCTGGACGGCCAAAAACTACTGCCATTGTTAACTGTTGATCTATCAACTTAATTAGTAAATATCGTTCTGGACAGCCAAAACTATTTACACTGTTAATTGCCCATTTTTAAACTTGATTGATAAAAGTCTTTGTAGACGGTCTTCGGAGAGTATCATAAAAAATAATTGGGAACACTTTTTTTTGGAAACTTTAAAAGAAATTGGAATAAATTATTAGTTTACAGAAATGTATTTTAAAAGTTTAAAAAATGTTTTAAAACTGAATCCAATTATATCTAAACAGATGTACAAAATTAAATAATTTTCATTGGTTTTGCGCCCCTCTGCGGGGTAACAAATAGCTCCACAAATTACTTAATATGTGAGTGAAAGAAACGAAATTTACTTTAACACAGGAGAGCTCAAACAGACATGTAGCAGTCAAGAAGATTCATTGATCCTGAATAAATTAATGTTGATGCTATCCTTAACCTTGGCAGAAAAGCTATTAAAGTCTACACTGAACTTCTTAGAGGACACAATTACCACATGAAGAATTTAGGTGCGGTAGAAAATGATTTCTGTCATGAAGAGAAGAAAATATCAGAAGATGTTCTATGTAACTTCCTAGCTGCGATAATACGTAGACTTTGCTACCTTGAAAATCAAATAGGTAAAATCAAGCCCACAACAATGACGAAAGTTATAAAGAGTCTAGAATTGTTTAAGTTGGACTTTTAAGCACATAATAGATGTTTTAGATCGGGTTACATTTATTGCTTATTATTTAATAATAGTATAATACATGTATTAGTATTATATTTTTTTTTGTTGTATTTTATTAATAGTAAATTGATTTTTAATGTCCATTTTTACAAAAGAAACAGTAGTGAATGGCAACAACAAATAATATTTTCATTATTTTTATTTAAAAGAATTTTTCGCCGACCATACAATTAATTGTAATGTAATAATAATAATAAATTATTAAAATCAATAAAAATATATTCAAACAGTTTAAAAAATATTTCAAAATGAAATGCAATTATATCTAAAATGACACAGAATGGCACAGAACCATTGCAGTAATGCAGCAACGCTGGGACTCAGATACCCGTGGACGATGGACCGCAAGGATTATCCCAGATTTATAAAACTGGCTAGTAAGAGACTTTGGCGAGGTTAACTACTACCTTACACAGTTCCTTTTGGAACATGGATACTTTAACAGCTACCTCTACCGCATGCGCAAAGTAGGGTCTCCAAATTGCATATATTGGCGGAGCGGAGGATGATAACCCCAGAACACACATTCTTTGAGTGCAATAAGTAGTTTCTTATAATATTTCTTATTATTTTTCTTATTGACTTTTTTTTTTAATATATATCGATAGTGTAAAAATATAATATAATAATAATAAAAAATTAGATCAATAAAAATGTTTTCCAAAAGTTAAAAAAATATTTCTAAATTAAACGCAATTGGAATAATGCAATAATGTGCAAAATTAAATGAAGTTAGGTAACAAGTTGGTAAAGAGCACCTCAGTGTTAATCTGTTGAGTCAATTATGATGACATTTTGACTCCAGTGGCGTTGATATACATATGCATATACGTATTCGAAAAGATTTAGAAGAAAATTTTAAAAACAATAACTCTGATTATTCCAAAGCAAATAAATTAACAATGTTGCTTTGTCTGGAAGGATCTTAATGCAGAGACAGTTCACAGGATTTGGTTGTGTATAATAGGAGCACTGTAATTGTCACTGATTTCTTTGCAATTCTTACGGTGACAACTACAAGGATTTATGGAAATTTGTAACATTTTTGAAATGTTTGCTTTATATATTGTGCAAAATAATGTTAAAACAAACAAGCAACCAGATATCTTATGCAAAGGATATTTAGAGCAGTGAACAGCGAAATTCCGCAGAACACGGTTATACGGTTAGACGGTTAAGGATTTGACAGAGCATCAACGAAAGGAAACGCTCTATATGCTCAGCAGGCTATCCACGTTTTATTGGTTCTATTGTTGGAGTTGATTGTTCAAGATGCTGCAATAAAATCTAACTCTACAGAAAGTGAAATGTAGACGCTACTCTTCACATCGTATCTCGTATCTTTGAAACAACGTAGGGAAGACTAATTTAACTAATAATGTAGTTTATGACAAAAACGGATTAACAGAGATAGTATATTTGTTTCTACACAGTGGATTTAGCAGGTCAGCAATGCGAGTGTAATTTTTTGCTCTAATTTTTTTTCTACCTATTACTAACTATTAAAACTGATTGGGTTGTGTTTTTTCTTCTTACTTTCAGTGGATGCAATTGTGCGGAGATAGTTTTGTACTATATTACGCGGTACAATTTACTTTTACACAACAACTCATTAAAAACTTAGAATCATACTTTGTATGTAGTGAACTGGAAAATAATAGGATAGGATAGGATGGCAGAAAAGCAACTCTCTACCGTATGTCGTACACAACTATTCACTACCGCATCCTTACGTAGTATTTTTGTATAAAATTTTTGCCTTCATTGCCGTTTTGACTACATACTTACCAAAGCATTTACCAATTTGAAATATTTAACAAGGATATTTTGTGTATATTTTGTGCATCTGTATTGAGTTAAGTAAATAAACACGACGTGGTAATGATGGTAAATATATAAGTCTCCGCAATACCCTTTTTTAGTTCACTTTTGGTCAGAAGTAAACGAAAGTGTAAAATACTATTCCCATTCTATAAGCAAACTCTCATTTACGTTAATTAACGTACCTGCAATAAGAGTCCTGCGATGTCAACTGAAACGCTAAACACAGTTCAACCTTTTACCTTAGAGAGCTATCCTTCTAAGTAATCTATTCAGTTCTGTTATAAATGCTTCCCTAAATGTTTGAACACACAAAACATTTCACAACTACCCAAGTTATTAGAGGAAAATATTTATGAATTATTTTATGGTCGCTGAAAAAATTTATATCCCTGATTATTGGCATTACAAAGGATATTATTATTCGTTTATCTTAACTGGGTTAATAGTTATTGCTTAAGTTATTCTGTTTACATTTGTTGTGATCTGCAATTGAATGTGTACAAAATAAATTACGAGTCTTGACA